GTTTGTTTTTCTCTTGTTTTTTTCACATTTTATTTTTGTATCCTCATAATTCGTTTGGGTTTTCCTTTTTTTCCTGTTCTTTAAAAATTGAAAAATTATACAATATCTCCGCATTTTACATTTGCTCATAATATATTTTCTGTATATAAACATTATACGGAATTAGGGCTACAAGGTAATATAATTTTAAATTGAATACAAAGAATGAATAAAAACACGAACAAAAACAAAACAAAAAAAACAGGATGACCATATGTTAACAACGCTCATACAAGTAGAATTTGATTTTCTTTTCTATTGTTATTTTACATATTTTTTTGAAAATAATTTTAAATTTTTAAATAAAAATTTATTTTCTGTATTTGGTAAAATTTAAGGTTCTTATTTTAATACGTAGCTATATTGTATATCTACATATTTTAATAAATAAGGAAAGTTTAAATTCTCTCTAAATATTTTTGACTTACAATTATAAGAACTTAGAAAGTCACTATAGCAAATTTTTTTCAAAATTCTGGCTTTGTTATTTAACTCTTCTATGTTGTATAAAGAAAATTTTTTTTAATTTTACGATTAAATAATTTTGCTGACGTCAAAATAGTTTCTCTTTCATTATGTTGTTCCAATTTTTTAATATAAGGTTTAATTGTTGTATTCCTTTTATAAGAATTTTTTTAAAAATTACGCATTTTTATATAAAATTATCTATGGAAATAAAACAAACTAAGTACAAAATTAGTAGTTTTAGGTAAATGAAGTTTATACATTTCAGAAAAATTAAGTCCTTTTAAAAAAAAAAAGAAAAAAGACAACTATTAAAACTAAGTTTGTAGAATAATAAAAAATCTTTCGTTTTTTCCCGTCTTTGTTAAAATCTAAATGATATTTTTTTCTAGTATAAACCCCTTTTTCAAAATAGTAAATATTTGTAATTTGCTCCAATCACAGACCCATTAATTCAATTTGATTGCGATTTAATTATTTTAGAACGCTCTGAATTTTGATCAATTTTCGCTAAATTACATGTTTTTATACGTATTTGAATATAAAAAATTATGCTAAAAAATAAAATATTTCGATTTAGCATTTAGTTGACTAAGACAGTTTTGCCTTTTTATTGAATTACATAATAAAATAATTATTATATCTAATTATTTTAATTATACCTTTATGTTAATTTTATAAATTCTTGCTTTTAATTGCTTTCATTAATTCGACGCCATCAATATAAAATATAGTTTTGCTATACAATTTTTGTTTTTGATTATAATTTTCAAAGCATATTTAAAAACAAAAAACTTAATAAGATGTTAACTTTTCCCAAAGCTACACTTTGAATAAATATTTAATAAAATAAATACTAGTTGTGTAAAAAAGGAATTTTGATTCATACATAATAAAATTAATTATATTATAAAATAAAACACACGATATCGTACATAGTTTGGAATTTTACAGGAATATTTTACAAATTATTTTTATAGTTATTAATTAATTTAATATATGTATAATTTAAGTTATATATATTATTTTGTACATGATATATATAATATATATATATATATATGCATATATGAAATTTCATAATTATAAGTATACTATATTGTTAACAAACTTATACAAAATATTACGATTATACAGTAGTAAAAGAAAGGACAAAAACATAATGTTTTTTTCTAATAAGTCAAGAAAACTCATAAAATATACAAATGTGTGCCTACATATAGCAAAGAATAAAAGATTGAAAAAAGAATAAAAATAATATAAGAACAGAAATGAAAATAAAACCATAAAACTTAATTTAAAATATGCCTTGAAGTGGCATTTTCCGCATACAAGAATATTTCTTATATGCTAAAATGAACATTTTTTCATACATAAGCAATAAGGAAATTTATAAAATGTGTATGAGCTCATTTATATAGGATTTTTCAATATGAACCAAATAATTAATTTAACCTTAAAATTTTATAATAATCAAAATAGATGACAGATCAAATAGCTTTGCCATAATAATATTCTTTAATTTGTTCCTATAACAAACGACAACCTTTAATATTGTAGAGGTGCATTAAAATATTATAGTGTAAGCTATTAGTTCAACATCTATATGAGAAAATTTCGCCCTTATTTACAAATCCATTCCAGAAATGTTTTAATTGAAAAATATAAAAGTTGTTGTGTCCAAGGAAATCAAAGAATTTATCATTTTATAATAGAATGTTAGCATTGAATTAATGAAGAGAAAGAAATTAAATAATGAAGAAAATTAGTTTAACGCGAAGAGTTAAACTAATTTTCAAACGTAAGTTAGAACCAGGATGAATCTGGTTGAGTGTGCTTTACAAATAAAATCGATTGAAGAAAATGTACGAGTAAAACCTATTTGAATTCTATAAAAATTTTTAATAATTGTTAACTCAAAAAAAAAAATTTCTTCAAAATGAAAACCCTTGTACAAAAAAAGAGCAACTCGTTTTTGTCATAAAAATATGAAAAAAAGGTCAGAAGATAATAATAGCGTTATAGCCTATTATAGTAAATTAAATTATTAAAATGTTTAAAGGTTGAGCACTCTGGTCTCAATTTTGTATACCATCAAATTTATGTACGTAATGAAACTTAAGCCTAAATACATATTATTTAATAAATACATATATCAAAAATCTATGTAAAATGTCATTTATGTATAATATTGTAGTCCTATTACATAATATATAAACATGCACAATAGTTTTCATTACAAGGTTTTTTAAAAAAAAGAACTTATATTTTCAAGAAATCATTCTTATCTTCCCCCATTGTTCATTCTATCATAATTACATAGTTAAAAGAATTATAGTGTAAATTATAAAAACTCTAATATTGTATGATAAAAGCACATAAGATTGTTAACATATTGTTATATGGCTAATACTAATGAAATTTAATTATTTTAAGAGGCTCATTATAATCTAAAAGAGTACCTACTCTTATATACAAGTATAAGCAGGATAAACCGTATACAAAAGGAAGTGTGTATGGATGTGTATTCGAAAATATAAATTTTATTTTCTTTGATAACGATAATATTATATGCTCTTAACTTGCTAATAATAATTAAAAGGATGTTGATTTTTACTAAAATAATGTTACATACGTATGTCTGTATGTATCGTAATTTTGTTTCATAATATATACATATATATTTATATAATGTTTTTTATTTGTGTTAATACTTTGATTAAAAATTTATTCATGTGTAAATTTATTATTCGAGGAATTTTAAAAATATGAGCATAATTTTGATGAAAAATATATTTTTGCGTCAATAAATTTCTTAACCGCTAATAAAATAGACAAGTTCTCATGAACAAGAGATTTACAACGAGGAAAAATAGAGTTGATCGTGTCATCTCCGTGATACCCGTACAAATTTTTTATCCTATTTGCGAGTAAATATACCATAGTTGACTATGAGAGAGACTATGACTTTAAGATGCCGTATTACCATATTAATTTATGCAAAATTTCAGTACTGTGTTTTCAATATTTTCTAAGATATGGACAAACTACTATTGAAGTTGTATGGCAATTACTACAAGGAGTCAAGACATTTTAAAGATCTTTATCACACATAACAGCCCTAATAATACACTTTTTTCACGAAATTTCTATGTTATAACTCCAATAATTTCTGAAATAATGCCAAATAACTTTTAGAGTTGTATGACAGTTATCACAAGTGCTCATGAGATCTCAATAACTTTAAATAAATATAGTTGCCATTTTACTATATTTTATTTTGCAAAATTTCAGTACTGTAGGTTAAACAGTTTTTAAGATATAGCCAAAAGCTTTTCAAGTTGTATGGCAGTTACTAGAAGGAGCCAAGCAATTTCAACGACTTTTCTCAAATACAATGGCCATACTAATATATTTCAATACCATAGCTTCTATAATTTCTGAGATGTAGCCCAATAAATGGCAGCTACCCGAACCAGTACCTCGATTATATTCAATTTAAATAGGGCTCTGGCATTTACTATAATAAATCATTTGTGAAAATTTGGCGAAATTAGCTTAATTAGTTTTTGAGTTATCGTTGGATCGCATCGACCCAAATCGACTGAGAATTCTTAGCTGATCAAAAACATATACGTGAGTCTATATCTCTGGCCACTATTTCTTGGTGTTACAAACGGTAAGGCAAATTTAGTATGCCCTTCGAACATACGTTCGTACGGGTATGAAAAAGAAATCTAATATCTAAAAGTTTAGTATGAATAATTCAAAAGAAAAATTCAAATTATTAAAAATAAACCCATAATATTCACATAAATTTAATAAATTTGTGAATTGTAATTTTTTAACGACGTAAGAAGTCCTAAAATTTAAAAAAAAGGTTTGCTTAAGAAGTCAAGTTAACCAATTTCGGTGGAGAAGCTTTGTGGAGGCGCTATGCTTAAAAAGAGTGAAGCAGGAAAAATCAAATACACATGTTTTGAAAAGTGTTCATAAATTTTTTTAATTACAAGTTGTATGCAAACCATTATAAAAGATCCAAAATTCATCAAATTATATGAAGTACGTTAATTTATAGAACACAAAATGAATTAAATATAATGTTTTAACGACGAAAGAATTTTTGAATTGATAGGCCTTCTTATTAGTTATTGCGTTAGTTGATCTTCTTGTTAAAAATTGCCCTGTATTAAATAGCCCAACATATTGAACTTGACAACAGAACGCTTGTTATTTGGAATGAGCAGAAAGAAAAAGCAATACAGAATTTTTGTATTCAGTCTGCCCTACAGTTATTTATTGTAATTAGTAGTTTCAAACTCTTAAATGAAGAGCTCTAGATGCATGTTTTATACGAGACTTTATTACTAAATTTGCTAGCTCTATTTTTGTTATTGTAAAACAAATGAGTTTTAATATAAAAATTATTTAAATTACTCTTCCATACCTATTTTTTGACATTTTAAAAATGCTATATAATAATTTATTTATTTCAGATGTGGTTTCATGTACGGTGAGCTAACAGATAAAGAGACTGTATCAAGATTAGAATTTACATTAGAAAACCAACAACAGGATCAATTCGAAATTTTATTGTACAAAAAGAATAGTAAGTTAAAATTTTTTCATTGTAAAACAGATTACTGTTGCATACTTTTAGGGGAATTTTTAATGCTTTATTTTTTCCGTTTATGAATCGGAAGGGGTCTTCAATTTTGAGATGCATCCTTCGCGCTGAAAAAAACGCATATCTAAAGAGATTATAAACCATTTCGAAAATCATACTTTGACTTTGTAAAGTACGCGCTAAAATTTTTTCAATTATATGAATAAAATAAAAGTAATAAAGTAAGGTCCAACCAATGATTTGTAATGTAGCCCTTTTCCCTTGAACAAGTGAAAATACCGATTTTAAAATACGAATATATTTCAATACATAGATTGTACGAATATATACGAATATATTTTAATACATAGATTGTACGCATTCAGGATACAATCTATGTATCTCAATGCAATCTTTGAAATAAAACAAAAAAAAAGTTAAAGGAAGCGTTTATATAATGCTCAAAATTAAAGTTTAATTGCGTGAGCTAAGAAACATAATAAAATTTTTTAATGCTTGGTGTTTACCATTAGCTTTCTGCGTTTATAGAAATTTGAAACAACTTGCAGTTTCAGAAATATAAGGTGCCAAAGATTTAAATTTTTCAAATTTCGTGAAGCGATAACTTGAGAGAGTGTGAAGGTGGAAAAAAATTTTATTCTTACTATTTATACACTATTTATTGAAGTCTAAAAGCTGCTTAAACTTCAGACTTTTACAACCTGTGGTCTAGAAGAAAAACGATATCAAAATTTGGAAAAAACGGAGAAATTTAGATAAAAGATAATTTTTTATGCGGATACTAATTTTTCAGATTTGAAAACGAAATAGAAAATTCATAATATATTTTGAAGACAAAAAAATTCTTTGTGTGACCCCAAAATTGTGTTTTTTAATTTTGCGTTTGTGAAAGTAATAAAATGTGCAAATACAATTTGAAAATTGATGCGTGAAAAAATCACATTATCGTATATAGGTATGTTTAGAAATCTGAAAAAGGTGTCAGAAAATATATCTACTATAATGTTGGCGATTCCAAATTGTAATTTTAAAATTTCCCTTAAATATGCCAATACAATTTGAGTTTATAACGAAAGAAGCTTTAAAATGTTTTGGTTATGATGCTCATAGAGATTATTGCAAATACATATTTTATGTATATACATGTATATTGTATAAATAAATGTATAATGATAACTTAACAGTGGCTACGAAATATTTTAGTTTTATAGTCAGTAACTTAATTTGGTAGTGCTTACCATATCAAATTTTTTTTGTACATAAGTTGTATTTAGCAAACAAAATAAATAAAATTCGAAATTATCCGCCTTATCGACTTAAAATATGCATTCTTTAAGACTTCATTAAGCTTAGTAAAGTTGGCGACTAGTTGCTCCACTCTTTATTCTAGCGTAATCTTAAGGGTTTCCAGAAAACAGTGAAATTTTATTCCGTGAATTCCAAAACGTAGTATATAAGTTTTTAATCGATTTTACCGTCTAAATACAGCTTTACAACAACGAAACCTTTAGAAACCACTGCCTTTTATGTAAAAAGCAATCTCAATTTCTTTGCTATAAGATCTGCTTTTGGTTTACGTTTCAATTGCGTACTTAATACATTTTAGAATAGTGTGCAATGGCAAATGCCTTTAATATACATTTGGAAATTTGATACATTGTAAATTTTACACTTCCCTGCGCTTGAGAAGTAACACATTGTCCCTATGCGTTACATATTTACGTTATCAAAAGATTAACATCCTGTTTTTTTTTAATAATGTGTAGTTTATTATTGGTTTCTCGAGTCATAGTTCATTTCAAAATTATAATATTCAATGCTCATTGCATACTTTTTGAATGAAATAAATTTCATTCTTTCAAATATATGTACATAAATTTATTATTAAAGCACTAAAAAAAATTAGCATAATAATTTTCGAAATGTTCGAAACATTTTATTTCTCAATCCTAAGAATTCAAATCACAAACATTTTTATAATGAAAACATACTCGTATACATATACAAGTTTAAAATTTTTGAATTTTCATTGGATGAATGAATTCCAATTAGGATTACAATTTTTCAATTCTTTAATATTAATTTCATATTTATTCATCAAAAGTACAATGACAAAGCATTAATTTTTCATTCCCTTTTTAAATTTCCAATATTTTCATTTACAATTTTGTTTTAATAATCGAATTCTTATTTATGAAATTGTAATAAAATATTCCTTTTCTTTTTTAAGTCAAGTCATTTTAAAAAATAAAACAAAAAATTGAACACTAAAAAACCATGACCTCAAAACAATCGAAAAAAGAACAAAAATAAAATTAGAAAGCAAAAAAAAAAGAAGATTTCCATTTTAACTTTTCGTAAATCGAAATCAAAAGTTTTTTTAAGTGTGTTGTCGTCATTATTAAGAATTTTTTCAGGAAATTCTTTTGCTTTTGTATTAGTAAAGAAACACTGCGAATATAAAAATTTAAAGGAGTGGTAATAAAGAAAGTTTTTCGCTAAATTGCAATTTTTTTCATTTTTATCTTTTGATTATAGTTATGGTTAGTTGTAGACGATTTTGTTAACTTTTTGCTTCATAAAAATGAGAAAATATAAAAAACTAAATAAAATAGAAAAATCGATTTTTATTTTTTTTTTGTGGTTCGTCTTTGTGTTTTTATTATTTGGAAAAGTTTTCTTATTTTCCCTTTTTCTTTTCTATAAATCAGAATTTATAACTAATTTATTTGATCCCCTCTATGGAATTTTCGAAAAATAATTTTTAATATTGAAAATAGTAGAATAAGGGAAATGTTTTTAATCGAGAAAGAATTTATATACGATAAGAAAATTTATTATACTCCATTTATACATATTGTACCTACATACATATACACATACATGCTATATGCATATACACCATGAATATTACATACACGTTTTGCATTGATGGTATTTTATTTATTTTTATTCTTTAAGTTGTGTTGTTTATGTAAAAATATTTCAAAAATTTTATTTTTAGAAACAAATTTTCTATTATTAGTTTCTTTCCACATAATCGTTTTCCCTCCCTTTTTTTTTGGAAAAAAAAAATATTTAGTTCTATACATTTAAAAAAGGTTTATACGAGTATAGAACTACGATTTATAAGTATAAGTAAAATAATATATTTAAGTATACGGTATATTCCCATTAATAACATTATTATTCAAGGAAATAAGTAACCCAACTTCTTAGAATTTCTTAATTTAAAAATAAACTATTTATATACCATTTTTTTTATATTAAAACTGAAATTTCATAAGTTAAAGAGTTTGTGTCTTTAATAAATTTCATGTTTATAATAATAATTTTACATTATATGTGCATTAACCGTAAAGTTAATGTAGTACAAAATTTAGATAAGGCATTTTACTTTCTGATCAACATTAGAAAACTTTGTGTATTAATAATGAAAATCAAGAACAAGAAACACAACAGAAGTAATTAATAAAAGAGTTTAAAATTATACATCAAAAATCATAAAATTGTACGGTTTCGAAAACAAAAAATTTGTAGTAAAAGTTGTAGAAATTTTCCAATATTATAGAAATTGTAAATCATAATTTTTTAATGAAAAAAATGAACAGTCTGAAAAAATCAAATTTTCCGTCCAAATTTATCACCAAGCAAATTTATATAATTTTCTTCCATTCAAAAATGTTTAGACACCAACTCTTAACACTAATTAAGCAATTAGAGCACTTGTCCCTCAAATTTGAGTATTTTGTTAACGCCTCTTTTAATTTTTTCCTTGTTTTATTTTAAAGATTACGTACATTGCTCATCCTAAACGTATGCAATTTTTAAAAATATATCCATATGTATGCATAGATCATAACGCGTGTGTATGTGTGAATTATAGTAGAATTCAAAAACAATCTCGTATATGAATGAAAGTGCAAATTTTAATAATTTGCACTTTAATAAAGTGTTTTGACTTGTTAAAGGGAAAAATTCTACATTGCAAACCATTGGTTTGGCTCAACTATATTATACCCGTACGAACGTATACTAAATTTGCCGTCCGCCCGTTCCAAAATTTATTTGGCTATTTCTATAAAGAAACTATAAAAGCTGTCATATTGAAATTTCACACAAACGAATACATTAGTAGGGCCAATGTGTTTGATAAAAGTCGTTGAAATTGCTTGGCTCTTTCTGGTAGCTTCCATACAATTTATGAAATAGTAATTCGGCCATATCTTAGAAAAAATTGAAAACCCAGTACTGAAATTTTGCATAAATTAATATGGTAATTTAAAGTTATTGTCTGTCCCATGGTCAGCTATGAGAGCTTTTCAAATACGTTGTTCTAATTGGTCTAAATACAATACCAGTCATTATTGGCAGAAAAAATCATTTTCCCAAACTATAGACGGACGGAGTATCTAAATCAATTCAGACCTCTTTTAGTACATAAAACTTCCGTGACATAGATAAAATACCCTCTGTGATAGAACACGTAATTCCTGACCTTTCTGCGTCAGCAGAATTTATGAATTGCATTTTATTTGGAAGCCTTGGTTTGTGAAGAACTTGTATTTGAAAACTTCTACAAGATATAACTTGGCGGGGAGGAGAATGGGGGCAAATTTACTTTAATAAAACAATATTTCCACAACACAATCGCACGGATTGATGGACACACAAAGCGAAAGTAATATGCATATTTTTTTCCACAATATTCTGGAAATATGCCAGAAACAAATTCTTTTTAATGCAAATTTAAATTAAAATAAATGCAATCTGTTAAACAACTTTAATTATGGTTGATAAATATTTACCAAACACAAAACCGTAGTAAATTTTTTTGAAAATTTACAATGTAATAAAATTTAATCTAATTTGTGAATGAATGTATGTAAGTTCCTTTTTTATTAAATACTCAAATAGATTTTTTGTACTTCCCATATAAAATAATTGAATAAATTTTCTCAATTGTTTGCTATTTTTTCCCA